CGTAAGTAACGTACGTGTGTGTGTGTGTGTGTGTGTGTGTGTGTGTGTGTGTGTGTGTGTGTGTGGGTGTGTGAGTGGGTGGGTGGGTGGGGGCTGAGAAAGAGGGTCTTTTAAACTGAGTCATTTTGAGCAGAACACCTTACTTTTGCAATTCAATTGCATTTATTTTTTCACAAAACTACTCCTACGTATTTATCAGGTGATACCAGGGCATGCTTTAAACTGGGACATTAACATTTCAGGTAAAAGGAGCAAGGACACAACATTCCCCACTGGCTGCAAGTTTTAGACATAGGAATGTGGGGGGAATCTCCCCTATAAATTAGCTGCCTGGATTTCATAGTTTGGTCAATTGACAAAGGCTGGGCAAAGAGAGGTGTTCTGTAGCTTTCTCAATGTGAGCTTAGTCACGTCAATGATCTCAGAGGGTACTGTAATATCATTATATCTGCTCTTGTATGCACATATACCTGCTGCAGCAGGACAAAACTAAGCTTTTTTCAGTGCTTTAACTATGTAACTGGTCTGGATTTGTGTTTCATACTTGCTGGGTTATTTTTCTTTTTAAGTCCGCATCAGCGATCAAAGATCAAGAACTAGAGCAAAGACAAAGAATTGTGCCCCTCTCTAAAGGGCTGAGCATGGCTCTGGGATCCAGGAACTCATGAGTTCTGGGCCCTGTGTGCCCCAGGTCCAACAGCAAATGGATGACCAAGTGTCTTAACCTCTTTAGGTGCTACCATTCCCTCATCTGTAAAACTGGGATAATTACAAATACTTTGCTCAACTCACAAGGAGTTGAGAATTTTAAGTAGCAGTTGTAAAGTACTCTGAACTTGTAAACCACTAAGTATTACTTCTGCTTTTAATGCCTAGAAGGAACCCCAGTGGGCAAAAATTAATCTGGACATTAAAATAATCTTGATAAATTATTGATTCTGATACTAATCTAAGACTTTTTTTTAAATAACCCACATCTCATTGAGACATTAAAGAGACCAAATGCATAGACTTCAAATAATCACTTAGATTTTTCTATTTATAGTCTGTTTCTGCACAATTATTCCTCCTCCATTCCCAAATTAACTACTAAATAGCATACTACTAGTCCAGAAGAGAGGCAAACCTATTCTTTGCCATTTTTTCTTGTGACGTGCACTGGTAACTGCTCTTGGATTACTGCCCTAAATTCTAACTTTCTTTTTTAAACTGGATAAAACAGGCAATTGAGAGCCCAGTCCTGCTCCCACTAAAGTCAACGGGAATCTTGCCATGGCCTTCAATAGAAGCAGATCAAGACCTAAAGCAGGACTAGCTGCATCTTAACTGGGGGGAGAGGAGAAACCCATATAAGTAGATAGTTGAAAATGTTGGCCTTTATATAATAAAAAAAATACAACAATTTGTTCCTTTAAAGGACATAAATTGACACAACGGTAATTCTTGGCCATTTTAAATAACTGAAAATGACCATTTGTTTGGAAATACCATATCATCCGGGAACACCCTTCTGTTGACCCTACTGCTGCAGATTCAGATGATAATCACTGATGAATCAGTAGCTTTTAATTAATTATTGCAAAGCCGTTTTCACATCCACCTCCTTGGAGTGCTCTGAATACCAAATGCCTAATTCCACCATTTCAGCAGTAGGCCCCAAAGTTCTCCCTGGCTAATTGCTGCCCTAGTATTCATCCCACTTGTGCAAGAATAAAAGGGACAGAAGTGCAGAATGGAAAAAGGCCAACACAATTTATGCCCAAAATCTTGTTCCATAAGCATGTGCCATATAGGTGCAAATCTACTGTAGCCAGGTGTCCCACAGAAGTCCTTGTGCCATAAGGAAATTAATATATTATAGATGAAAAAAAAGAGCTACCATTAACACAAGTGCTATAAATCTAGTTCAGGCTTCAGACTTAACTAACTGGTAACACTGGAGCCAATTAGTACTAAGCTACTGAGACAGCTGTGACTTTAATTACTTTGACCTTGTGATGCAAAGGAAAGATTGAGGTGTTACTGCTGAATAACCTTAATAATCACTCCCGCTAAAGCAGAGTTAACAAAAGCAGTCTATTGTACCATTTATTTTCATTAGCTGGCATATTTGTTGCATGCAAAAGCTACTTTTTTGAAAGTCACAATAACTGACAAATACAAACTAAAACCTATGGTTAAAGATGAAGAAAAATAATTGGAGAGCTTATTATACAATGCACCAAAACTGATGTAGTCATACCAGGGATGAATTTGCTCCAATTAGTGTTAGAAGTCAACTGAGTGGTTCTGTGTAAATATAGTTATCCAAGAGATAAGATGAAAACAAAATAAAAAGCACTAGAGGTTTAGCTTTTGATATGCGGATGGCTAGGAGGTGTGGATTTGATTACAAGATCAGGGCAATAGTGATACATGGATTTGATTATTCAAATAGTTGACTAAAACCTTCCATTTCCTTTCAACTTTTGTCGTTATGTTCTTACTATGCACCTGATATCATCATCTCTGGGACTAAAGCAGGCATAATTACAGAGAGACTGCATCAGCAGATACACCGTATGCGCACAGACTTCCGATTACTCCCCAAAGGGAGTTATTTACATGCATGCTTTCAGAAAAACACATCTGATTATGGAACATTTCTACCCCACAAACCACATTTGCACACTCAAAGCAGCTGAGTTGCTGGTTTCCTCTTTGGCATCAGGGGATTTTTTCCACCACCTTTGTCAAGAAAGGATAATGATGCCATTGGATGATCCCACTGGAAACAGCATACAACAGTAACTAGTTGTAAAATAAGGAGAGGCTCAGGTTCCCACTCCATTGTTAGGAAAAGCAAAATGACACATATTTGATACCAAGACCAGTTACCTTAGATAAATACCTAAGATAACTCAATGTTTTAGATATTCAGTCTAATCTTGAAATAAGGTCTCTGAAAAGTAGCATGCTTGGAACTGCTAGTAAGCATTAAAGCCTCTGAGAAAATGATTCAAACGTCAGTGGAAAAAACAAGCTCCAATTAGATGAAGCTGAATATTCAAGAGGCACCTTGTAATTAGAAATCTATGTGTGCAGACAGACAAAACTAGTTGTTCCCCAAGGCACTAAGGTCAAAACAAAGCATCAAAAAGTAATAAACGGGCTGAGGGATAAAAAATAAAGTCTTAACCTGTCAGATGACTAGGGAATTTGAACTAAAATCCACAAGCAAATTTAAATACAAAAGCTCAGCAAATAATCTGAAATCCTCCCTCAGAGACTCCGGGTGGGATTTTTTACTCAGATTTTTGTCTGTTCCTTCACACGTCTTAAAAAGGTGCTTTATCATTTGAACAATTCCATTAACCTCAAGTCCCCCCAGTCAGATAGGAGATCATTGGATGAAGGTCAAAGATAGCAAATAATCTGCCAACGCACAAATCTGGTCAAACAGCCTCAAGGTCAGTCAGCAGTTTGGGAGATTGGAAATGGAATACAGAACCTTTCACCTCTTGGCCGTTGGTTCAAAGATGACCCAGGTGGGTAATACCCCAAACTACTTACCATCTGATAACCGTTTTTGCAGCTTACTTGAGAGGAGTTGCACATTAGGAACTGAATTTGGTCACAACATTCACCATAACTGACACTCCTATTAAAAGTCTCAACAGAGAGACTAGGGATGAAATCGATATGTTGGGGTTGACACACACAGAACATGTAATATATAAAGAAAGAGGTTTTTTCTTTTCCCCTCCCCAATCACACCTTCCTGAGGCCCAGGGAAAGCCAGATTCATCCCTGTGCCAGTCACAGTTTTCTACACATAAAAGTGATGAGACTGTAAAATTCAGTGTCTTTTGGCCTTGTAATGGGAGCTTTGGCAAGGGCAGCTTCCCAACAGGATCCCGCACTTGCCTGTAGCCCAGGTAAGGCCCAAGATAAGAGATTTAAAGCCTGTGACATTTTTATATAGTGATGGTCTATTTCAGGTTCTTTTTAGAGGTTTCAGACAGACATGCTGGAAAAGTCACAAAGAGTCAGGCAAAGGAGTTACATT